AACCCACCAACTGTTCCTCACAAACCCTATACAGGGTCACGATGAATTGATATGAATGGCCTCTAAGACCCTCATTTCTATTCCCCACCTCCCTCAAACATTTTGGTTTGAATACTTATTTTTGATCACTAGATGAAAGTGTACATGTAGATTAAAATTTTCTAAACTCTACAGTAACTACTGCTTGTTACTCTAACACTCTCCCATGGAAAGGTCAGAGAGATTTCTAGAGCTATGAAATGGGAAGAAATCTCAGGGGACCCCATCTCTCCCATCCCCACCCAAAATCTCCTAAGCCTAATTAAAATCATTTTATTATTAAAGACCTCCTCAGGAAAGCATTCCTTATTAGTTTTTAGAGTTCCCTCCAGGCCAAAGAGAAGGATTTTACCAACCCCTGTTTGGTAATCTCAAAGCTGTTCTCAATCACTTACTTACTGTTGATAAGAAACTAGGCAAGATTGTGGATCTTGGAAGGTGAAGGGACCTTTCCTAAAACACATTCCATGAATTCCATAATACCTTTTTAAACAAATACAGACAGGAACTCCCATGATGAATTGATAGAGCCTGAGCTCTATCTAGCTTTTATTGTTGTTGTTAAGGGCCATGTGTCGGTTCTGACTCATAATAGCAACACTGCATAGCGTTTCCAAGGAGTCCTGGTGTGGCACTGTAGGGTAAGCACTGGATTGAAAGGTCATTTGAACTGCAAGGTCAGAGGTTCAAACTCACCAGCTGCTCCTGGGAAGCCCTATTCAGGATCGCTGTGAGTCAAAACCAATTCGATGGCAGTTAACAACAACATAAAATTTCCAAGGATTGGTTAAGGAATTTGAACCAATTGTTGAGGGATTTCCAAAGAGTGGTTGAGGGGTTTGGACCCTTGCAGGTAGCAGTCCAGTGCTTATCCTACAGCACCACACCAGGACTAGCTTTGTTGTTGTTATTGCTGAGTGCTATCAAGTTGATTCTGACCCATAGCTACCCTGCATAGGGTTTTCAAGGAGTGACTGGAGCGCTGACCTTTTGGTTCAAACCGACTTTGCAGTCCAACGCATTAACCCACAATGCCACAGCAGGACTCCAGGACTAGCTTTGGTCAGCATGATTATTGTTACTAGTTGCTGTTGACTCGAACTCATGGCGCCCTTGTACATAACAGAATGAAACATTGCCAGGCCCTGCATCATCTTGATGATCTTTGGTATTTTTGCATTTTTCAGCACTGTATCAGGCAATGTTTTGTAGTGATCCATATGGTTTTCATTCACTCATTTTCAGAAGTGGATCACCAGGCTTTTCTTACTAGTCTCTCTTAGTCTGTAAGCTCCGCTGAAACCTGTCCACCATGTGTAACCCTGCTGGTATTTTAAATTCCAGTGGCATAGCTCCCAGTATCATAGCAACAATGCAATCCACCATAGTATGACACACTGTCAGGTGGGTGTGATTGTTGGCCAACATACTTGACCCACAATTTAAAGATCTCAGAAAAAGAGACTGTCTTTTCCACCAATTAATCCACAATTTTCTTACAGTATTAAAAATGAGAATCAGAGATTCTTCCCCAATTAAATGACTCAGTGGACTAGTTATTTTTGTTTATTCCTCATATGTGTGTCTGAACGCACCTTCGTTTTGGGCTCTCTCAGTCTACTTCCATAGTGAGAGGAGGAGGAGGAAAGGGGTTGAATACTATCACACCCCTGCCAGGAGTATCCTATATTGTTGTTGTTAAGTGTCGTCGAGTCGGTTTTGACCCATAGCAATCCTGTATAGGGTTTCCAAGGAGCAGTTGGTGAGCTTGAACCGCCAACCTTGCGGTTCAAATTGACTTTGCAGTCCAGTGCATTAACCCACAGTGCCACACCAGGACTCATAGAGACCCTGTATGAATCTAGGAGCTGCTGATGAGTTTGAATCATATATAGAGACAGGAAGAAATATGGGTTCTTCCTGCCTTGTCCACATACAGGGTCCACGCCACTGCCAATAACAACACTTTCTTTCCCTTCTTCTGTGTGTCCATCTCCCCCACTACAAAATAAATAAATAAATAAAATCCAACGGGATGGAGCATCTGGCTCCAGGACTCCACCAGGAGCAGGAAGAAAAGTGGAGTTTGTGGAGCGTGGTGCGTGCGAGACCCACCCTACCACTGCAAACAGACCTCATTAGGCTGGTTCAAGTTCTTCAGGGGCCGATCTTGAATGAGGTACTCGGCGATTCGCACATGATTGCTCTGAGCTGCAAAGTGGAGGGTGTTCATTCCATTCTGAAAAGAACCAGGGGCAGAGAAGGTGCTCAGGCAGTTTTCAGAGCCTCCCCACTCCTGTGTGGGAGTTCTAGTGTGACCCACATGCCTACCTGATACTTGGCTCTCTGGTCCACACCAGCCTTCACTAGCCTGAGCATGATCTCCAGGCTTCCAGATCAGGCGGCACGAGGTGAATTACTGTCGAGGAGAGGAGAGGAGAGGAGAGGGGAGGGGAGGGGAGGAGGAGAGGGGAGGAGAAGAAAATGCATCACTCGGTTGACCCACTGCATTATCTCAGTCAAGGCCTAGCTAATACTCAACTGTTGAAAACTAAGGAATATTGGGTTGAATCTATAGCCAAGGCGGTATTTAAATTTTCTCTGTGTGTGGTGGTAGGGAACAGGGTTTGGGTTTGAGATCATTGACCATGTTTGTAATATGAGAAACCGGTTACTAGATGTATACAGCTGTTGTTGCTGTTGTTGTTCCAACTCATAGAAACCCTGTGTAGGGTTTCCAAGGAGCAACTGGGGAGTTTGAACTACTGACCTTGTGGTTTAAAATGACTTTACGGTCTAGTGCTTATCCTACAGTGTCACAACAGGACTCTAGATTTATACAGTAGATAAGCATGTATATACTGTAGTAGTATTTGTTGTTGTGAAGTGCCGTCAAGTCGGTTCCGACCCATAGGGACCCTGCATAGGGTTTCCGAGGAGTGGCTGGTGAGTTTGAACTGCCAACCTTGCAGTTCAAACGGCTTTGCAGTTTGGCACATTAACCACAGCACCACACCAGGACTCTACTAAACAGGAAACATGGTCTATGGGGCACTTCTTGACATTTATTTGACTGTTCCAGAAATGGAATTACTATAGTCTCCTATTCTCAGTAGAGTTAAATATGGAGAGTTAAAATAGCAAGGCCAAGATTAGTAATTACTGCTTATTATTACTCTAAATGGAGTTTTGGTGTGGCGCTGAAAGATAGGCACTGGACCACTAACTGCAAGATTGGTAGTTCAAATCCACCAGCTTGCTTCTTGGAAACCCTATACAGAGTTGCTATGAGTCTGAACTAACTCAACAGCACTTAGCAACTCTAAACAACACCATTACTCTAAATTGGTAGTTCTCAACTGGGAGCAATTTTTGATATTCATAAGTGGGAGTTTGTTATGGATTGAACTCTGTCTCCCCAGTATATGTGCTGTAAAACCTAATGCCTATACCTGTGGTTATAATCCCATTTATAAATGGATTTTCTTTGTTAGGTTAATGAAACAGTATCAGTGTGTTTTAAATCAATCTCTTCTGAGACATAAAAAAAAAAACCCAGATTGAGCAAATAGAGATGAAGGAAGATAGATGCTAAGCTGCTCGAAGACTGCTGAGGACCAGAAGCTCTAAAGAGACAAAGACCTTTCTCAAGAGCCAACAGAGAGAAAAGGCCTTCCTCTGAAGCCAACCCTCTAAATTTGGACCTCTAACCTCTAAGCTGCGATCAAACACATTTCAGTTTGTTAAAGCCACTGACTTGTGGTATTTCTGTCATAACACACTAGGTAACTAAAACAGGCAATACTGGCATTTAGTGGGCTGAAGCCAGAGATGCTGCTAAATGTCCTACAGTGCACAGAATAGTTTCCCCAAAACAAAGAATTCTTTAGTCCAAAATGACAGTAGTACTGCTGTTAGGAAACCCTGCTCTAAATGAACATAGCTTATACATTTTCTATTTTGACTAGCATACTACATAGGAGCTCTGGTAGTGTAGTGGTTACAAATCGGGCTGCGAACCTTAAGGTCAGAGGTTCGAAACTACCAGCTGCTCTGCAGGAGAAAGGTGAGGCTTTCTACTCCTGTAAGATTTACACCCTCGGAAACCCTGTCACTATGGGTTGGAACCGACTCGACGGCACTTAACAACAACAACAACACTACATGGTTAGTCTATTTACATGTTTTCAATTCCAGTAATTTCTGTATTCTTTTTCCAAAGAACTTGATGCTATAGTCTTTAGAAAAGATAGCTACCTAGTTGAGATTCTTCTTTTTGTTTTCTTTACGTTGAGGCGCAACTCATACTGAAGGATGTGACCTTTGATTTTCATTAGTAAGTATTTTAAGTCCTCTTTGCTTTCAGTAAGCAAGGTTGTATCATATCGAAGGTTGTTAATGAGTCTTCCTCCAATCCTGATGCCATGTTCTTCTTCATTTAATAAGTATACAGATTGAGTTGTTATTATTATTAAGTGCCGATGAGTTGGTTCTGACCCATAGTGACCCTGTCTAGGGTTCCAAGGAGTGACTGGTGATCTTGAACCACGGACCTTGCGGTTCAAATGGACCTTGCAGTCCAGAGCATTACCCCACAGCGCCACACCAGGGCTCTGCCACAGATTGCATAAGTATGGTGAAAGAATACAACCCTGGCACACACCTTTCCTGATTTTAAACCATTCAGTGTCCCCTTGTTCTGTTCAAACGACTGCCTCTTTGTCTATGTACAGGTTCCTAATGAGCACAATTAAATGTTCCGGAATACTCACACTTAGCAATGTTGTTCATAGCTTGTCATGATCCACACAATTGAAAGCCCTTGCAGAGTCAATAAAGCACAGGTAAACGTCAATCTCGTATTCTGATTTCAGCAAAATCCATCTGACATCTGCCAACAATATTGTATGTGTATATGTGTATGTGTAAAGAAAAGACATCTGAACTGCTTAGATTTTCTCTTCTTAACTGTCAGATTTACACTGGTTATGCTCCAACCAATTCTACTGAAGGAAGCCAAGTTTACCTTATCAGCAACATCAACCCTGGTCTTGTGTTTAAGCAAGAAATCCACTGCAGATAAATGATTCCTTCCCCACTGCAAAGTGCAGGGCTGTGCGGTTCATCAGAGAAAACATAATTTGTTTTTAGTATGAGAAACTCTGGCAGTCATCTGGTCATTACTGCTCCTTTGCTCCTTGAATGATACACCCTGGTGGTACCGTAATTAAGAGGTCAGCTGCTAACCTGAAGGTTGGCAGTTCATACCCACCAACAGGTCCACGGGCAAAGGGTGTGGTAATCTGTCTCCGTAAAGATTGTTGTTAAGTGCCATCGAGTCAGTTCTGATTTACAGAGACCCTGTATCGGGTTTCTGAGGAACAGATGGTGGGTTTGAACTGCCAACCTTGTGGTTCACAGTCCAGTGTTGATCCTAAAGTGCCACAGCAGAACTCCGTATAGACTACAGCCTTGGTAACCCTAGGGGGCAGAGCTGCTCTGTCCTATAGGATTCCTGTGAGTCGGAATCAACATGATGGGCAACGGTTTTGGTTCCTTGAATGGCCAAAAATCCCATCCTTTGCCTTTGAAAGTAGTGAGATTGTGTCCATCGGCATCCTGCCTGCAGACACCATCAGAGAATTTAGTAATCCACTGGAAGATAGGCCTCAAGTTGAAACCCATTGCATAACCTGTCACTGAAGTCACATAAAGGATTTCACTTAGAGAGTAAAAGTTGTGTTTCTAGTCAATAATAGGGTTTCTGAGACTATAAATCTTTACAGAAGCTGACTGCCTCATCTTTCTCCTGCAGAGCAGTTTGGTGGGTTCAAACTGCCGACCTTTTGGTTAGCAGCCCAAAGCTTAACCTAGTGCAGCACCTGGGTTCCTTTTCTGCTTATAATATAAACACTGATAATGCATAAGAATAATTTTCCTAGATGTTCATTCATGGATGTTCTTTTGTAATTTTTTTAACTGTAAATCTAACTGAACCAAAAAATACATATATTGTTTTTGAAAGAATACAGAAGGAAAGACAGAGAAATAGACAGAGAGAGTCAAAGGAAATCCAAGAGGATGCTTCTGGGATGCCCAGAAACTGTCTACTGTGTTTCTGACTATGGAAGTTTTGTTTGTAAGTAATACATGGATCATAGTTTTCATATTCTAGAGAGCTTTTGCTTCTAAAAAAGCTATCTGGGCATGGGATTTATAATTCTTTGCTTCTCATAAATAATTGATCACAAAAATATAAGAACTACTTAAATTAAATATATGAGGTCCTTGCTAGTTGAGCCAGTGATAAACTAAAGTTTGAGAAAACATAAATTATCTTTACATGGTCTGCAATCTAGAGTTTTGCACAAGTATATCGAATTTAAGCTTATATGCTTTTCTGTTAGCCAGAATACAGAAAACTAAGATAGTTCAATAAAACCATTCACATTTTTTTCCATCTCTATAATCACAGACTTTAAAATATTCTTCAGCATGTCAACAATGTTTTATAAACAGGGTACAAAGATGTCCTTTGAAAGTATAATAGAAGTCATCAGGAGTTTATAATAATTTGCCACACTGACTGTGTGTCCTAGATTGAACTGTCTTTCCAAGAACTTTAATAAAAGATCAGAGAGTTACATGTGAAAAAATTTTAAACGGTTGTAACAGTCGATTGGAAAATCTAAATCCTGCCACTTGGAAAAACAATTACTGCTTCATTTATCTTACTCAACAACTCATCTTCCACCCTTATAACAATCTTCAGAGAGGTATATCTATACATACTTTTGAAACTATGTAGCTATTATCTCCAAATGTGCTTACTTATTTTATCTTCCTTCTCTTTCCCTACACACTCCCCTCCAGTTGTTTGTTTTTTCGGTTCCTGAAATTCTTTTGCAGCAAAATTTTGCCGTTATTCTAGTCTTTCTAGGATGTCTATGAAATATGACTATTACACATACCGTAACACACCAGGCACACATACACACATAAACTCACACATACACAAACACATTTATACACACACAAGTGTAAAGTATTCTTTCACTGAAGATGATGCATGGGATTTAGACTTCGCCACTTCAGTTCCTATGACTCCACTGGCTGGGACTGATCCAGGCTTTATAGAGCCTGGAATTTGAACAACTTGAGAAGGCTTCTTTCAAGCCAAAGTCTGCAGGTTTACCTGATTGCAGTTACAACATTCCTTACTTGAGCAAATTTTGCAAAATTTTGTAACCATGGGAACTCATTGCTCCTTGGAATTTTAGAAGGGACCTATACAAATAAGAAGGCTTGAGCTTATGCTCTACTTAACATCGTGATAAATCTACTTCCATCATCCTTACCAGTCTACAAATGATCTGAAACAATTGCTCCAGATCCAAACTGTTCATTTTAATAATACCTGACTAGAGGGGTGATCAAGAGCCCTGTAGATGCAGTGGTTAAGTGCTCAGCTGCTAACTGGAAGGCTGGCAGTTCAAACCCACCAATGGCTTTGTGGGTTAAAAGATTTGGCAATCTAATCCCATAAATATTTCAACCTAGGAAACCATGTGGGACAGTTCTACTCTGCCATACAGGGTCAGTATGAGTTGGAATGTGGCACTGTAGGATAACCACTGGAGCACAAAATAAGTTTGAACCACAAGGTCAGCGGTTCAAACTAACCAGGTGCGCCTTGGAACCCTATACAGGGTCATTATGAGTTAGAACCGATTCAATGGCACTTAACAACAACAACAATGAGTTGGAATGGACTTGTTGGCACCCAATAACAACAAAAAGGCTACCAGGAAATTCTCATAAAACCAACAGTTGTTGTTGTTGTTTTTCAGTGGGTTCTGACTCATAGCAACCCTGTATTAGATTTCCGAGGAGCAGCTGGTGAAGAAATCCATATTTCTGGCGGTGGACACCCCTCAATATCCAAACACTTAATAAGCACTTAAGGGGCAGATTTCAGAAATGGCTTCATTGCTAAATAATGCAGAGGCACTATATTTTAAAAGCAGTAAAATGAAAACTCATTATTTTCCTTTGGATTTCAGTTTGGAAGAACTCAACCGCAAAGGGCATCCTTGGAAAGAAAACAGCCTAGATTGTGTAGCAAAAGATGCTCTGCCTTTCCAGATTGTGTGAGGCCAAAGTTACCACAGTCCAGGCCCATGACCTTGACAGTTGGCTTTACTGCCCACCCACAGACTGCACAGATGTGCTTAAAGACCTTGTGCACTTCCCCTGAGATAAAAATGATGAAAGCAGCCCATCCCACTGATTGATCTTACCTTGAGTTTAAACACCCACAAAGGCGGTCTCCCTCATCTAACCCAGCACAATCATTTTTATTTTGATTATTATTTCATTTGACCTACGTAATCCCAAGCCAGCACTTGGAGCAGCCACTTGTCTTATTTCCAAATTCTACTCACATTGTTCACGACATTGATGTTAACCTTCTTTTCAAACAGCTTCTCCAAGAAATCCCAATTATTGCTTTTAGCAGCATCCTGAAATCTCCTCTCATTAAGTTGTACTGAAAGAAAGCAAATATGACAGGGAATTTAAAGGGGTCAGAGATAAAGCAAGTCTCATGTGGCAAACCTTGTTGTTGTTGTTGTTGTTGTTGTTAAGTGCCCTCGAGTCTGTTCGACTCATAGTGACCTGGTACAGGGTTTCCAAAGGGCAGCTGGTGGGTTTGAACTGCCAACCTTGAGGTTAGCAGTCCAGAGCTTATCCCACAGCACCACATATAACTCTGAAATCACGTAGCAGTAGCCTTGAGCCTTTCATATTCTGCACTGAAAAGAAGGAAAATTCACTTCAATATTTTATAAAGCTGTGGTGTCAAGATTCCTCTTTCTCCTAGCACTGTCTTCAGACCCTTAAAAGTATTCCTGGTCCCAAATAAAACATTATGTTTGAGGACCACCCTGAAGCCAGCAATGTAGTGTTTGGCTCTAGGAGATCAGAGAGTTGTCATGGACTTCCCAGGGGCATTATTTGGGAAAAGTATTGCACAAGATTAGACAGGAAGGAGCCCAAAAGCTCCATACAAGCTTACAGAGCTTAAAATGTTATCTGAAGAACCTTGAATGCCAGCTCTGCAGGAAAAAAAATAAAACTGCTTGCGTCATACAAGCACACATAAAAGCTAAAAGGAATGAACATATTTCATTCTCATTTATATTGTTGTTGTTAAGTGCCATCAAGTTGGTTCTGACCCATAGCATATTAAAGGAGATTAAAGTAGTTTTTGGAGTCCTGGTGTGGGGCTGTTGGATAATGCATTGGACCACAAGGTTGGTTTGGACTGCAAGGTCAGCAGTTCAAATTCTCCAACCCCTCCTCAGAAACCCTATACAGGGTCACTATGAGTTGGAACCGACTCAAGAGCACTTAACAGTACAACACTAGAGTACGACTTTATGTTATTAACTGATTATAACTTCAAAGACCCTGTTTCCAAACAAAGTACCAGTAATTGGGACTCAACATGTACTTTGGGGAGGAAAAAATTCAATCACTACTACACATACTATAAGCACTATAAGGAGCTCTGGAGGCACTGTGGGTCAACGGTTATCCTTCTAACCACAAGGTCAGTGGTTCAAACCCACCAGCTGCTCTGCAGGAGAAAAATGCTGTTGTCTTTTCCCATAGAGATATACAGCTGCTATGAGTCGGAACTGACTTGATTGCAGTGGGTTTGTTTTAGATTTGGTAAGCAAAGACCTGAAGTAAGAAAACCAAAAGGAAAGAACATGTTCCACATTTCTCAAGCTGAGAGACCTGAAGGCAAAATTTAAGCCTCCACTTGCAATATTGAAGAATTTGATGTGCAAAATATTGAGTGATGGAGAAAGCATCAAAAGAAGATGGAAGGGATACACAGTCATGGTACCAAAAAGAAATGAGCAGTGCTCAACCATTCCAAGAGGTAGCATATGATCAAGAGCTAACGATCCTGAAGGAAGAAGTCCAAGGTGCACTGAAGGCATTGGCAGCAAACAAGGCACGGGGAATAGATGGAATACAAAGTGAAATATTTCACCAAACTGATGCAGCATTCATCGATGCCAAGAAATTTGGAAGACAACTACGTGGCCAACTGAATGGAAGAGATCCATATCTGTGCCCATTCCAAAGATATGTGACCCAGAGGAATGCAGAAATCATTGGACAATATCATTAATATCACCTGAAGTAAAATTTTGTTAGTGATAGTTTTAAAATGGCTGCAACCATACATTGACAGAGAATGTCCAGAGATTCAAGACAGATTCAGAAAAGGACGTGGGACAAGGGATATCATAGCTGATGTCAGATGGATCTTAGCTGAAACCAGAAAGATGTTTACCTGTGCTTTATTAACTATGCAAG